CGGTCAAGACCAACAGGTCTCATCTTGTTCATCCCCGCTGTTTTCAGATAGTCCAAAAAGAGGATTAACCTGTTGAACTTTGAAAGAGAATTATCTTTGAACGTTGTCCTTTAATTAAAAAGATTTATGATGGAGAAAGGGAGGTAAGAAGGTAGGGTAGGGAGGTTGGTGAGACAAGAAGGGGGCCAAGAGAGGTAAGTAAGCCAATTCACATGATTATATGGATTATATGAAGGGTTTTTTAAGAAACTTACAATGAAGAAGGTTATAAAGAGTTTCTTTCAACAAAAAGTGGGAGAACAGAAAAAAAAGTATGAAAAGTACAGTATAAACTGCTTGAAAGATGGTTCATCTCTCTCTCGCGCTCTTTCACGCTACATCCTCATTCTCATTGAGTTATGCTCTCTATCTGCTTCATCATTACCTCCCTATCTGCATCTTCACTCTCTGTATCGATGAAAATGAAGAGAAAGGCAGATGTTAAGAGGGAAGATAATGGGTTTTTATAAAAATTCCTTCAGACACCATTTAAATCCTTCACAACGACCATATGTGGCATCTCCTGCACACAAGCAAATGTCTCAGAAGATGTTTGGATTAGAATATGTGAGATGAAAAAAAAACAAAAAAAAGGTTTTATATAGGGTGGTCAGATGAACAAAAAAAAAGGAAAAAGAAGAAAAGGAGGGAAAAATGAAAATTAATGTGAACAAGGATAGAAAGTACTTTCAGACAGATGTGTCAGAGACAACTACAAAAGGCAAATAGATTTGGATGAAAAGCAAGATCATTTCAGAGGGTGGTCTGAAGAGAGAGAGAGAGAGCAAGAGAGGAGAAAATGGAAATATGAAAACTTCATGTAAAACATGTCGCCTTAACTATATATACACATAATTAACATAAATAAATGTGAATTTTTGACAGTTCGTTTCACTCAACATCGTGTACAAACATCTGTTAGAAATCCTTATGTCTTCGTTAAAATCAGAAGTCAGTTTTCTGACGGATCGCACGAAGATGATGGGGGGTGAGGATGGAGAGTGGGGGGTAGATGAATGAAATGAAATAATGAGATGAGAAAAATCATTTTTCACAACCGTTCATTTGCTTTCCGCAAATGTTTGAATGAACTTTTGACGTGAACAGCGTGTATGACGTAGTCAGATATCTAATTAGCATACAAGACGTATATCAATAGTGTGTTAAGGTTTGAGCTTATATCGTCGAACACGTGGAAAAGCTCTAATGTTTAAAAAAAAAAGAAAAAATGTTTGTGTTTAAGCTTATAAATCTAAGCTTCATATCTTTCTCTCTCTTACTCTCACTCAATTCTGTCTCTCTCTTCAACATACTCAGTCATATACATATATGAGTGTTAACAGAAAAGAAATGATCATGTTTATAGCTGTTAACTATATATATATTATGCGTATTTGTTAATCTCACCATATCTGACCTCTTTATAAGTAATTCGAGATGAGCTTTCTATCTTTTTTTTTTCTTCTCCTCATTTACGCTTCTTCTTCTTTAGTAGTTAGCCGAGCAAAAGCTTATTAGCATACATAAGAATTGATGCTGTTATTTTTATATGATATAGTTAGCAAGTTTATGTTTCTTCAATTAATCATCTTGACATTAGTGGTGTTAAGTGTGAAAAATGGCCTGACGAGAGGTTAAAGCGATAGGGGCAGTTGCTTCTTCCTGTGGTCTGTTCTTTAACATAATCAAATGAGTTACAGATGTCTTAAGAGAATAAGATATTGAGTGAGATAATGAGAGATAGAGAATGTCAGATGATGAGATGAGAGAAAAGTAATTTTTGATAGTTGACAGTAGAAGAAGCCAGATGAGATTTCTTATCAAAAGCAACTGTTATTCACACTTGTCGTCTATTGTGATGATGAGAATCAAGGGATATAAAGGTAAATCTGTGTATGTTTCACACTTGTCATAACCATCTCTTCCTTTAAGCTTCAAATTTCATTTTAACAGAGATAGATTAACAAATGAAATGTAAAGAGAGAGAGAGGGGAGAAGTAAGAGAGAGAGGTGAAATGGATGGCAAACGGGGACTTATGGAAAGGGAAGGAAGAATGGAAATGCATTCTGTCACCCTTCTTCTAGCTATCGTCAATCCGATTTAAGACTAAAAGCGTTAAACTATCAGATTACTTATTGAAGAGTTTAAAAAGCATTTTTGATACACCATTAGTTGATTCTGCTGCTGTTGACATGGTTTCGATGTAAAATCTATGAATAGAAGAATCTGTTGAGCCATTTCACATCAGAAGATCATAAAAACTATCCTGACGTCATCTTCATCATCATAGATTCTCTTACTTGCCACAAGTTATGTAAGATGAAAATATATAGATTTCTTTATATTATTTTTTTAAAATAAAATAATCTAAAGAGTTTATGAAGTCTAGAGAGTGCAGACAGTTGATTCTGTTCTATATGATGACGTCATCAAGGTCAATTGACTGAAATGTTAACTCGTTAGTTATGAGCAGAACTTATGATGTAAAAGATGAGCAAAATAATAGAGAGAGAGTGAATGTGTGAAGAGAGACAATGATAGATGATAGAATAAGAGAGAGAGAGAGAGAGAAGAGAAGAGAGAGAGGGATATATGAAAGATATAAAAGAGCTCATTAACTATATGCCAATGATACATGTAACTAATCTTTAAATAAATAAATAAACTTAAGGTTAAGGGAATGTTCATGAGCTTAGATGAGGTGTTAAGCTGTTGTTGATGTATAACATGATTTGTTAAGGTCATGTATGGATAAAGCTTATAAGTGATCAATAATAGAGGATTAGTATCTCTATCGTCCGATCTATTATGTTCAAAATGGCTTTTTTGGGCATTTGAATCAAAAAAAAAATCTTTTTGTGAACATATGTATGGATAATGACCTATCAGAACATATGGAAATATGTCACACCTTATAAGAATCAAAATATGATTGATCGTCAGCTGATTTGTTTTTAAAAATACAAAAGGATCAAATCTATAAAAGTCATACAAAATGAATTATAATCTATTGATGATGTAGATGATGATGTTGTTGTTGTGAATGATCACATAGAGAGAGAGAGAGAGAGATAGATAGAGAGAGAGAGAGATTAGATATTATAAAGAGTTTTTTTAGAAATTATTTTAAGAATATGCCTATAGTAGGTTATATTACATGTTAGACTACTATAGCCAGTTGTAGCTTACTACACTAGTATGAGCTACCGTAATCAGGCTAGCGCAACAACGTTCTTGTTCTGCATCTTGCAAACTTCATTCTGACTCAAATATATTCAACTTTTTTTTTCTCTTCATTCTGTTCAGATATTTCTCCTTCCTATTTTCTCGTACTTGAGGGTGAAGAATTTCATTTGGATGAGCTGGAAAACAGAGAAAACGAGTTGAGCAAAATTCATTGGAATCTTTGTTTGTCGGCTTGTCACCGACATTATCAGGGAATTCAATCAGTCGTTCATCTTCAGCTTCATCGTCTTCTGGTAGCTTTTGTTCATTTTGGAATTTGTACACCTTAATCCGTGGAGGCACAAAAAAAAACAAATTGTATGACTGACTAATGTAGATGAAGAACAAATGTTCTTAAAATGAGATGAAGCTAGAGAGCAAAGGTTTTTAGTTGGTCAATTTTTGTTTCTTTGAATAAAAACGAGAAAAAGCTTAAATATTACAGAAAATAGAGGAAGACAGCTGAACAAGAATCTAAAAGGCTGTCACTGTGTTCTAGTAGGTGTCCAACACATGTTCCTCCACTATCTGATACTCTTGGCCCAAAATTTGTTGCTTTCTTTTCGCACCAAGTCACTTTTCTTTTCACACCTGCTGCCATCAAGATATTAGAGAGGGAGAGAGGATGAACGAAAGTTTTAATAAAGAGAGAGAGAGAGAGAGAGAAAGATATATAGAGAGAGGATAACTGAAAATGATTCTGAAAGATGGAGAGAGAGAATGAGTAGTCAGATGCAGTGCTTCGAGCATATACTATATGAAGAGAATATGAAGTTGTGATGACAGCCATAATCTCAGGTTACATCTGACTGACCAGACGTTCGACTTCTTTTTTTTTATTTTAATAGCAAATTAAGCTTTAACCTGTAAAGCTTTGTAGACGTAGTATTAATACAAAGAGTTACTTGCTGGAAAAACTGTTATTGACATCAGAAGATTGTGTGAAACAGATTCAAATACGAATTCATCACGAGCAAAAAGGAAAAAGAAGAATCTTTACTTTCCATCTAAGCCACAGATTACATTACGGCATAGAATTAGAAATCATGAAAGCTGTTTGTGTGACAATTCATGCTATTTCCAATGAAAAAACATTAGTACGTTCATAGAGAGAAAAACTTTCTTTTATATGGACATTGGAAGAAGCACACACTAACCACAAAACGACGATTAGTTGTTAGATTACGGTAGCTGTTTCTCGTCAAACACACCAGCTTCTTCTTCTTCTTCATCTTCGAATGCTTCATTGAAATAAAAAAAAAAGGAAAGAAAGAAGGAAAAAGATAGTATTGAAATGAATTTTAAATCATCTTCTCATAATGAACTTCCGTTGTCACATTACTTCGAATGAAAATCTACAAGAAAAGAAGAAGTCTTTGCTTCAATACAAATACTATAAACATCATGTCAATTCGACCTCATAACTGTCAGTTTTTAACCAATTTAAGTCGTCACTTAAGCTTTTGAAGCTTGACGACACAATGATGAGAACGGTCAAACGTGACGTCTTCATGTCTGGCAATCATCTTCCTCATTTTCTCATTTTAAATTTACATATTAGAACGGGGGAACACACCACGAATGTAAATCTAAATTTTCAAAAAAAATTTTGTGAATTTACGCGGGAAATACTGTTTGCAACATATTCACTTTTAATACTTTTTTTCTAGGGAGCGGTTGCACATGGCACTTATACCAACGATTTGACTCCAAATAATTCATTTCAGGAAGTCGTATGAGATACGGCATTACCAAAAATAGAAGTAGGATGGATGATAGTAATGAAATTGCCAAAATGGCCGAAACTCCAGGATTACAGCGTTCCATTATGAATGCAATTTACTCGGTAATTAAGTTGTTTTAATATATTAATGTTATTAATTTATATGATGTAGAAATTGCCGGCGGATGTATCAAATACAAACTCGAGCTGTGAATCATTAGGACGATTAGATGATGATATGGTAGTTTTCGATATCATTGATTAATGACTAATTGAAATCATAGGATACGTCAGCTTTTAATACTACAATCGGAGAAACAACACAATTAACCAAACACACAAGTGAAAACTCCAGTGATGAGGTGCGCTAATTTCTTATTTACTGTAGATGAAAGAGAGAGGGAGAAAGAGATAGAGGAGATGTGGACTGGTGTGATAGAAGAAGAGTGGGGGATTAGTACATAATTCAAATAATTTAATTGAATTGATGTTTTGCGGTTTTTCTGTTTGAGATGTGCACTAAATGCTTTGATGAGGAAAGAGAATGAGAAAGAAAAAAGATTGTTTTCGTGTATCATAATATTAGTTATAATACTAATAATAACAGGTGTGAAATTGTGATTTATTAGTTTTGCTTTCTGTTTACACGAAACTGAGCGATAGATGTGTCGATTAGTGTGGAGTGTGGGGGTATTTGATAGCCGACATGCTTGAGTTGTTTAGCTCAGTTTTTTTGTCTTGTATTCTAAAGATTAAAGCACGAATTGGATGAAATGGAAAAGCCAGATGGATTTGTGAACGAGATGCAAAAAAAAAAATTTTTTTTTTTTGTGACTTATTGAGAAATATATCTCTCATATTTTCAATTGGTCGTCTTTGTCTTATGTTCAGCTATCTCTGAATGAATGAGGATGAAGTGAGAAATGTGCCAAGAAAACATATGTCAACTTGGATAGATAGTGTCAATTAGAGGTGTTAAGGCCAGAAGCAAGTCAACAACTGTTAAGACAGATTGCTTCATCGTTACTTGTCATTCTATCTGAATGATTCTTGTTCTTTCACGTTGTGATACACACACCTTAACATATCCGTTATAATGGCAAATTTATTAAGATAGTTTTACTTGCTATTCTTAAGTACTTGTAAATAATAAAAAGAAATGAGATGAAATTTCATTGAGAGCATTAAGATGTGATTATAACGTAATGGGAGATAGTAGTAGAAGCATATTTGGCTATAAGATCTATACGAAGATCTAACAATGCCCCAAGCTATTTGTGATTCGGATTTGAGTAGATATTATTCTTTCACAAGTATCTACTACAACTAACGATTTTCGAAGACAATATTTTCATGAAATTGGAGAGAGAGAAAGGGGGTTCTTACCCAAGCTATTAGGAAAACTGATCCACATAAAAGGGATTCAACATATCCTGGATATGGTAATATGAAAATGAACGAGAAAGTTAAAGACATCCGATGGGCTATTGCGGAAATGATTAAACCGTTCTCATCACTTTGAAGCGAAGTAATTGCCCAATTGAGGAACTGAGTTTTTGGATACTGTTCTCAGATCTTTCTTTTGGTGCCAATATATGATGCTCTTTCCGTTTATATTGTCGCTAATTTGGGAATGACACCAGATTATTGCCCAGCTAGCATCTGATTTATTACTTTGACTGCACATCCATTACGGGCCACATAAGCGTCAATTTAAGTACAAGGACCTGTTAACACGCCTGGCCGGACTACTCTGACACCATGTGTGGTGTACATATACGGTAGAGAATGTAAATGAGGGATTACCAAAAAAAAAGTTGGGATAAATTAGAAGATGTGGACGATTTGAGAAAGGTTAAGGGGACCAGTTGTGCTAAGCTGAAAAGCAATAGACCTGACTCAAAAGTGACTCGAGATACTGTAGTTCCTACTTAATTTTTGACAAAAAGACAACCAGACTATAAATGGAATTGAAAAGAAGTGAACCAGATGATGTAGGTAGCACAAATTGCGACATACATTTTGCGTAGGAAAACGTGAGATATGAAGAATATTTTGTGAAGAGTAGTAAAATAATACGCGATGATGAAGATGAAACAATCTTTGGGGGGGGGGGGGGGAAAAAAGAAAGGGAAGG